TACTGTCTTGATAACTGTGGCTTTGTAGTAGAGACTGAAGTCAGGCAGGTTGATTCCTCCAGTTCCATTCTTCTTTCTAAGATTGCTTTGGCTATTCGAGGTTTTTTGTATTTCCATACAAATTGTGAAATTATTTGTTCTAGTTCTCTGAAAAATACCGTTGGTAGCTTGATAGGGGTTGCATTGAATCTATAGAATGCGTTGGGTAGTATACTTTTGTTCACTATATTGATTCTTCTGATCCATGAACACGGTATATTTCTCCATCTATTTGTGTCCTCTGTTTTCTTTCACCAGTGTTTTATAGTTTTCTATATATAGGTCTTTTGTTTCTTTAGGTAGATATATTCCTATTTTATTCTTTTTGTTGCAATGGTGAATGGAATTGTTTCCTTTATTTCTCTTTCTGTTTTCTCATTGTTAGTATATAGGAATGCAAGGGATTTCTGTGTGCTGATTTTATATCCTGCAAATTTACTATATTCATCGATTAGCTCTAGTAATTTTCTGGTGGAGTCTTTAGAGTTTTCTATGTATAAGATCATGTCATCTGCAAACAGTGAGAGTTTTACTTCTTCTTTTCCAATCGGGATTCCTTTTATTTCTTTTTCTGCTCTGACTGCTGTGGCCAAAACTTCCAAAACTATGTTGAATAGTAGTGGTGAGAGTGGGCACCTTTGTCTTGTTCCTGACTTTAGGGGAAATGCTTTCAATTTTTCACCATTGAGGACAGTGTTTGCTGTGGGTTTGTCATATATAGCTTTTATTATGTTGAGGTGTGTTCCTTCTATTCCTGCTTTCTGGAGGGTTTTTATCCTAAATGGATGTTGAATTTTGTCAAAGGCTTTCTCTGCATCTATTGAGATAATCATATGGTTTTTATTTTTCACTTTGTTAATGTGGTGTATTACATTGATTTGTGGATATTGAAGAATCCTTGCCTCCCTGGGATAAAGGCCACTTGGTCATGATGTATGATTTTTTTAATGTGTTGTTGGATTCTGTTTGCTAGAATTTTGTTAAGGATTTTTGCATCTATGTTCATCAGTGATATTGGCCTATAGTTTTCTTTTTCTTTGGCATCTTTGTCAAGTTTTGGTATTAGGGTGATGGTGGCCTCATTGATTGAGTTTGGAAGTTTACCTTCCTTTGCAGTTTTCTGGAAGAGTTGGAGTAGGATAGGGTTAGGTAGGTGTTAGCTCTTCTCTAAATTTTTGGTAGAATTCTGCTGCGAAGCCGTCTGGTCCTGGGCTTTTGTTTGCTGGAAGATTTCTGATTACAGTTTCAATTTCTGTGCTTGTGATGGGTCTGTTAAGATTTTCCACTTCTTCCTGGTTCAGTTTTGGAAAGTTGTACTTTTCTAAGAATTTTTCCATGTCTTCCAAGTTGTCCATTTTATTGGCATATAGTTGCTGGTAGTAGTCTCCTATGATCCTTTTTATTTCTGTGTTGTCTGTTGTGATCTCTTCATTTTCATTACTAATTTTGTTGATTTGATATTTCTCCCTTTGTTTCTTGATGAGTCTGGCTAATGGTTTGTCAATTTTATTTATCTTCTCAAAGAACCAGCTTTTGGCTTGGTTGATTTTTGCTATGGTCTCTTTTGTTTCTTTTGCATTTATTTCTGCCCTAATTTTTAAGATTTCTTTCCTTCTACTAACCCTGGGGTTCTTCATTTCTTCCTTTTCAAGTTGCTTTAGGTATAGAGTTAGGTTATTTATTTGACTTTTTTCTTGTTTCTTGAGGTAAGCCTGTATTGCTATGAACCTTCCCCTTAGCACTGCTTTTACAGTGTCCCATAGAGTTTGGGTTGTTGTGTTTTCATTTTCATTCGTTTCTATGCATATTTTAATTTCTTTTTTATTTCTTCTGTGATTTGTTAGTTATTCAGCAGTGTGTTGTTCAGCCTCCATATGTTGGAATTTTTAATAGTTTTTCTCCTGTAATTGACATCTAATCTTACTGCATTGTAATCAGAAAGGATGCTTGGAATGATTTCAATTTTTTTTTAATTTATCAAGGCTAGATTTATGGCCCAGGATGTGATCTATCCTGGAGAAGGTTCCATGTGCACTTGAGAAAAAGGCGAAATTGATTGTTTTGGGGTGAAATGTCCTGTAGATATCAATTAGGTCTAACTGGTCTATTGTATCATTTAAAGTTTGTGTTTCCTTGTTAGTTTTCTGTTTAGTTGATCTATCCTTAGGTGTGAGTGGGGTATTAAAGTCTCTCACTATTATTGTGTTATTGTTAATTTCCCCTTTCATACTTGTTAGCACTTGTCTTACATATTGCAGTGCTCCTATGTTGGGTGCATATATATTTATAATTGTTATATGTTCTTCTTGGATTGATCCTTTGATCATTATGTAGTATCCTTCTTTGTCTCTTTTCACAGCCTTTGTTTTTATTAAAGTCTATTTTATCTGGTATGAGTATTGCTACTCCTGGTTTCTTTTGGTCTCTATTTGCATGGAATATCTTTTTCCAGCCCTTCACTTTCAGTCTGTATGTGTCCCTTGTTTCAAGGTTGGTCTCTTGTAGACAACATATCTAGGAGTCTTATTTTTGTATCCATTCAGCTAGTCTTTGTCTTTTATTTGGGGCATTCAACCCATTTACATTTAAGGTAATTATTGATAAGTATTATCCCATTGCCATTTACTTTATTGTTTTGGGTTCGAGTTTATATACCCTTTCTGTGTTTCCTGTCTAGAGAAGATCCTTTAGTATTTGTTGGAGAGCTGGTTTGATGGTGCTGAATTCTCTCAGCTTTTGCTTGTCTGTAAAGCTTTTGATTTCTCCTTCATATCTGAAGAGATCCTTGCTGGGTACAGTAATCTGGGCTGTAGGTTATTTTCTTTCATCACTTTAAGTATGTCCTGCCATTCCCTTCTGGCCTGAAGAGTTTCTATTGAAAGGTCAGCTGTTATCCTTATGGGAATCCCCTTGTGTGTTATTTGTTGTTTTTCCCTTGCTGCTTTTAATATTTGTTGTTTGTGTTTGATCTTTGTTAACTTGATTAATATGTGTCTTGGGGTGTTTTGCCTTGAGTTTATCCTGTTTGAGACTCTCTGGATTTCTTGGACTTGGGTGATTATTTCCTTCCCCATTGTAGGGAAGTTTTCAACTATTATCTACTCAAGTATTTTCCCATGGTCTTTCTTTTTGTCTTCTTCTTCTGGGACTCCTATGATTCGAATGTTGGCACGTTTAATGTTGTCCCAGAGGTCTCTGAGGTTGTCCTCATTTTTTTTTAATTCTTTTTTTTCCCTCTCTGTTTTATTTATTTCTACCATTCTATCTTCTACCTCACTTATCCTGTCTTCTGCCTCCGTTATTCTAATGTTGGTTCCCTCAAGAGTGTTTTTTATCTCATTTATTGCATGATTCCAGAGAAGGCAATGGCACCCCACTCCAGTACACTTACCTGGAAAATCCCATGGATGGAGGAGCCCAGTAGGCTGCAGTCCATGGGGTCGCTACGAGTTGGATATGACTGAGCGACTTCACTTTCACTTTTCCCTTTCATGCATTGGAGAAGCAAATGGCAACCCACTCCACTGTTCTTGCCTGGAGAATCCCAGAGATGGGGGAGCCTGGTGGGCTGCCGTCTATGGGGTCACACAGAGTTGGACACAACTGAAGTGACTTAGTAGCAGCATTGCATGATTCATTATATATTGACTTTTTTATTTCTTCTAGGTCCTTGTTAAACATTTCTTGCACCTTCTCAATCCTTGTCTCCAGGCTATTTATCTGTAACTACAATTTGTTTTCAAGATTTTGGATCATTTTCACTATCATTATTTGTAATTCTTTATCAGGTAGATTCCCTATCTCTTCCTCACTTGTTTGGTTTGGTGGGCATTTATCCTGTTCCTTTACGTGCTGGGTATTTCTCTGCCTTTTCATTTTGTTTAGATTGCTGTGTTTGGGGTAGCCTTTCTGTATTCTGGCAGTTTGTGGTTCCTCTTTATTGTGGAGGTTCCTCACTGTGGGTGGGGTTGGACAGGTGGCTTGTCAAGGTTTCCTGGTTAGGGAAGCTTGTGTCCGTGTTCTGGTGGGTGGAGCTGGATTTCTTCTCTCTGGAGTGCAATGAAGTGTCCAGTAACGAGTTTTGAGATGTCAGTGGGTTTGGTGTGACTTTGGCAGCCTGTATATTGAAGCTCGGGGCTATGTTCCTGTTTTGCTGGAGAATTTTCGTGCTATGTCTTTCTCTGGAACTTGTTGGCCCTTGGTTGGTGCTTGGTTTCAGTGGTGGTATGGAGGCATTTGATGAGCTCCTATCAGTTAATGTTCCCTGGAGTCAGAAGTTTTCTGGTGTTCTCAGGATTTGGACTTAAGCCTCCTGCCTCTGGTTTTCAGTCTCATTCTTACAGTAGCCTCAAGACTTCTCCATCTTTGATGATCAATTTTCCATTTTTCTTGTTTGTAATGCAGCATAAGATCCAAACTTTACAGCTTTTGTTTTTTAACCCCATGAGCCTTTTGGTGTGTGATCCTCAACTGCTTCCCTGGTGGCTCAGATGGTAAAGTGTCTGCCTGCAATGCGGAAGACCCAGGTTCGATCCCTGGGTTGGGAAGATCCCCTGGAGAAGAAAATGGCAACCCACTCCAGTACTCTTGCCTGGAAAATTCCATGGACAGAGGAGCCTGGTAGGCTACAGTCCATGGGTTCGCCGAGTCAGACACGACTTCACTTTCACTTTCACTTTCCTCAACTGTTCTTGTCTTAGTGTGATAAGTGGTATCTGGTCTGCAGCAACCCCATGAATCTGGAATTGAACTGGATGCTTGCTGATCCTTTGGAGAAAAGTGTCCCTGGACAGCTTTGAGTGGTACTCACAGAAGGTGATCAAGAGCACCATTCACCTTGCTGCCCTCAGTCCAGCCCTCGGTCGCCGCAGCAGTCCGTCAGTTCCCGCAAGCTTTGGAGGCAGGACGAAAGAGGTGTCCCCGTGGCAGAGACAGGCTCTCAGTGTTGCGAGGGGAAGAACTCAAGAGAGAAGCTGAGACGGCTGCGACTGCTCCCACTGTGGATGCCACCGATTTCCCGGGGCGGAGGTGTCGGGGAGGCCCAATCCTCGGGATTGCAGCGCCCGGAGCGCAGCACTCATATCTGGCATGGAGCTGTTTTAAAGTCAAATGAAAAATAAGATGTGGAACAGAAAACCACTAATGTTTTACGGGAGCAACTTTTACTATAATAAACACTATAAAATAACATCAGTGCTGCTTGATTTGTCTTTCTTGAAATGGATGCCTTTGTATATATATATTTTTAAATGGATTTCTGACCAGTGTATTCACTTTAAACTTTTTGTTTGTTTGTTTTTATTTTTTGGCTGCACTGTGTCTTCATTGCTGTGTGTGGGCTTTCTCTAGTTGTGATGAGCAGGGGCTACTCTTCATTGCGGTGCACAGGCTTCTCATTGCAGTGGCTTCTCTCATGGAGCACAGACTACAGAGCAGGGGTTTGAGGCAGGAGACAGTGGGTCTCTGGGCCAGAAACCTGGTGTTTGTCAAGTGGAGTAAAACTGAGCCTTTGTTCTCACCCAGATATTCCAAGGACAAAGCTAGTGGTAGAAGCTGAGTTCTGCTAAAGCAAAGAGGTAAGGTGCCCACTCCTGAGGTCAAGGAAGACTTCCCAGCCTCTACATGTGTAGGAACTCTTCTTGGGGGTCAAAAAATGAGGGGACCCCACTCCATAATCAGTGTGGATATGCAGCCATAGGCTTCTACAGTGGGATCCATCTTAGCAAAATGTTGTGCAAACACCTTGGGGAGGAACTATGGACCACTCAGATGTGAAAAAAGAAACAGTTGGCCAAGAGTAAACAAAGACCCAGAAGGACTGTCCTAATAAGTGAATGACATCACCTCAGTACTGTGCTGCTCCTCCTCACTCGGGACACCCGCATTTCTCTCCAGGTGTGTCTCTGCCTAGTGTCTGATGTACCGCACTCCTCACTCAGGATGCCCACACTCCCCTCTGGGTGTGTCTCTGCCTAGCGTCTGATGTACCGCACTCCCCATTAGAGAGGCTGCGCATATCCTTTGTCTTGGGTGTGCATCTCTGCCCTGCTTCTGAGTTGGATAAACAAACTGGTTTCCTGTGTGCTCTCCCATACATTGTGCTGTGCCTCTAAATAATAAACTTTGTACCTGTTTTTACAGTTTTTGCCTCCTTGAAACATTCTTGCTTTCAAACAGGGGCAAGAACCAGGGTCACTTTGCTTCTAGCCCCGAGTCCCTGGTGGTCTGGTGGGTAGGACTTGGTTTTCATTCAGGCTACTCGGGTTTAATTCCTGGGCAGGAAACTAAGATCTCTCTTCAGGACCATTCACTGCTCTCCCTCCGAGATCAGGCTCAGTAGTTGCGGGGCTCGGGCTTTGTTGCTCCATGGCCTGTGGGATCTTCCCGGACCAGGAATCAAATCCATGTCCCCTGCCTTGGTGGGTGATTCTTAACCACTGGACCACTAGGGAAGTCCTCTTTGTATGTTTTTAACCTGTGCAGATAGATTGTCTAGTTTAAAGCAGTTGTTCAATGATATTAGCTTAATTGGAGAAAATGAGAAATTTTCAGAAACTTAAGGAAATGTCAAATAGTGTCACGTAAAGATTTAATTAAGAATAGGTTTCTGAAAATGTAATTGTTTTCATTTCATCACCACGAGGCCCTCCAAAAAAAGAGGAAGAAGCAAAGCTTCTTTACACCAGACAGCATCAGTTGCATCGTTAGGCAGTGTTTAAAAAGTCAGAGTTGAATGCTTGTGTGGAGGTAGCACCAGTGTTAGCATTTTGTGAATGAAGCAGGCCCACCCAGGCAGACTGACAGAGTCTACTCATCTCTGAAGTTCTTTCAAGGCAGGACAGTTTAATAGAAGAGCCTTTTATCAGGGTATTTATTTCATGTCTATTATCACATGGGGATCCTCCATGAGATGGAGAATACTCCATTTCTTGACTTGTTCTGTCCCATATAGTAGCCATTAGTCATGTAACTATTCAAGTTAAATTAATTGAAATACAATCAAACACTCAATTCCTCTGTCCCTCTGACCACATTTCAGGTCCTCAGCAGTCACACAAAGCTAGCAGCTACCACACTGGACAAACAGAACATTTCCATGATCACACCAAGTTCAACAGAACAGCACTGGCCTAGAGACATTTTCTCAAGTTTAGTGAACTGTTTTGTACTAGCACAGTCAGGGTTTAAGCCCAGGTTTTTCAAATGCTAAACCCCATTAGCTTTACTACTCTCCCCCTGCCACTCACTTATTTCTAAGAGATGTGTGGCAGAACAGAGGTATAACCATGCTCTAACATAAGACAGAGAAACTGTGAGGAGAACAGTAAGGGAAGGTGGCCTGCCTGGCTTCATGCATTGCCTACTCTGACATTTATTTTATTTGAAGCCTTATGACTGGCAGATCAGCACACCAACTTTACAAAAACCATCCTCTTGCTTTTCCCATGCCACCCCACACTTTCCTTCACTGCCACTGAAAGACCAGGAGATGAACTAAGAGGGAGGATTCTGAGGCTTATTAAACTCATTTTGCATTTGCTTTCAAGTATTTGGGTGTGGTGGTTTTCATTTCCCTTGAATAAAGGGCATCTTTTAATGGCCATATTTTGTTTGGTACAAAAAATATTTTGTCCCATGTCCCAAAGTAAACCAATTATTCTGAGTCACTTTGTTTTGAACTCTGATTCAGTCTTTTGAAGATCAGACCTTGTGAATGTAGTTTGCCTTTGACTTGGTGAACTCATGTTTTTTGGTTAGTTTTATAAATTTAAAGCAGCATGTTAATGAGGAAGGGATACAGTCTGTGTTTGAACTTCAGTACCAAAGGCTAAGTTCTCTTTTGTTTTAATACTGTATTTTATTTACCTGGTATACAAAATTTAATTTCAACATACAATCAGAATACAGATTATTTATGAGACAGTTTATATCTTCTATTTTTAAATTCTTGAGCCTCAATTTCTCCATCCTAACAAATAAAGCTATTTGTTTTGTTTAGTTTAATGGGATGGTTTAGATGTACAAAAAATAGAAAGTAATATGACAAGCCTTGTATTATTTTGCTGGGTGCATCTATCATCTAATTTAGTAATTAAAGCATTAAAATACAACTGAAGAGCCACATGCCCTTGCTATACCCATACTTCTCCCTTGCCCAAGTAATCACTATCATGAACTTGATGATTATTATTCCCATGCAAGTCTGTATTCTTTATCCATATAGGTGTACAGGCCTAGAAATATTACTTAAAATGGTAAATGTTAGATTCTATAGATTCTTCTTTCAACTTGCTTTTTTCCCATTCAGTACTGATTTTAAGACAGATCTGGGGTGTACATGTAACTTCAGTTCCTTTTAACTCTTGCATTCAACCATGTGAATTTGCCATCCACTTACCTCAGTAGTTTTCAAATGATCACTATACCATCAGAGCTCTAACAACCATCTTTGTGTTTCTGTGTATGTCCCTTGAGGATATGCCAGTTTCTCTTGGGCTTAGCTATTTAAACTGTCCCTGGACCAGCAGCAATGACATCACCTAGGAGCTTGTCAGAAATTACGAATTTCATGAACTGGGAGATTGGGACCCACATTTATACACTACTATTTATAAAATGGATAACTAATGAGACCCTACTGTATAGTGCATGGAACTCTACTCAATGCTCTGCTGCTGCTACTAAGTCACTTAAGTAGTGTGCGACCCCATAGATGGCAGCCCACCAGGCTCCGCCATCCCTGGGATTCTCTAGGCAAGAACACTGGAGTGGGTTGCCATTTCTTTCTCCAATGTATGAAAGTGAAAAGTGAAAGTGAAGTCGCTCAGTCGTGTCTGACTCTTTGCGATCCCATGGACTGCAGCCAACCAGGCTCCTCTGTCCATGAGATTTTCCAGGCAAGAGTACTGGAGTGGGTTACTCAATGCTCTATGGTGACCTAAATAGAAAAGAAATCCAAAAACAGTGGGGATATATGTATGGCTGATTCACTTGCCTCCCTGTACAGCAGAAACTGACCCAGCAATGTAAAGCAACTATACTCCAATTTAAAAAGGAAAAGAAAAAAAATGAAAAAAGAAAAAAAAAGAACCAGAATCTCAGATCTTTCCAGCCTAACAAATCAGAATCTAGTTTTAACTAGATACTGTGGTGATCTGTATGTACATCAAGGATTGAGAAGCACTGCTGTAGTTATGCCACAAAGTAGAATTGCTGAATGAAAGAGGAGTTCAGATCTTATCAGAGATTTATCAAAATGCTCTTAAAGGTGGTTGTGCCACTATAAACTTTGACCAACAGAGTTTTTTACCTCAAATCCTCAAAATTTGATACAATCAGGATCTCAGAATTATGCCAATCTTTTCAAAAAATGGTATGTCATTTTAATTTTCTCTGATCACTAATTGGGTGTCTTACATGTTTATTGGCCATTCAGATGTCCTTTCTCAAGAATTACCTTTTCTTTTCTTTTGCCTATTTTTCTGTTGATACGTAATCCCGTGACTGTAGTCTTTCCCTGATAGCAGTACAAAATGTGCAATAGATCAACATGTCTCCCAGTCATGCTTCACACACTATATCCTCTAATGAGCTCTGACAGCAGGGATCATGTACTGCTGTATCTCCTAGGATGTAGCACACCCCTCACAGATGAAGGGCAGTGGAATTTGTATTACTGTAGCCAGCTCAGAGGAGAGATCTGGAAAGGAGATATATAATGAGCATCATTAGCATATAGAAGAGATTTAATGCAATGGAAATGAGTAACATCAACTAGGAAGGTTGTAGAGAAATGAAAAAGGAAGATTAAATCCTGAAGGGCTTTAGCATTTAGGCAAGGGAGATTTTCAATGAGGAAGGACATTCTAAAGCTATCAAGCAAAAGACAAACTTTGATTATCTAGAAATCTAAATGCTGTATAGTAAAGGATACCATAAGCAAAGCCAATATAAAACAATAGACTAGGGGAAGAAACTTGTAATGGAGATGACAAGAGTCAACATATGTATAAAAAGCTCTTAAAAACTGATAAGAAAAGTCAGGCTAATTGTAAAATGCATAAAAGATATTAATAGCCTATTTGCAGAATAGG